TAGTTAATTTTCTGACTCCTTTGTATTTTTCCTTTAACGGTTGGTTTCTGCTCCTCAGCTCTTGCCCCGCCCACTCTCACCTGTTCTCAGTTGTCGTCAAGCCCAGGTGTCTCCTCCCTGCTCATTAGCCCTGGTCCATATAAACCCTCAGTCCTCGCTCGTTCCCTGTTTGGTGTTTGTGCTCCTCCTTGATTTGTTGCTCTTGTTTTCTTTAATTGTTACATTTTTATTTATTCATTTATTTATTTTATTCATTTATGCATTCATAAAAAAATTTAAAATGACAAATAAAACAATGACTGAAAAAGATGCAGAAAGAATAATTAAAAAAAAAAAATCTTGTATCTGCCTCTTATTTAAAAAAATAAAATAACAGTTTGGCACAAAAAAAACTAACTAGTTTTTACTGGACCTCACCACAAACCCTGACAAAGTGTCTGATGTACGAGCTAATGGCATGTCTGAATGCATCGGAGTCAGAAGTATTTGTAATGTGGGGGGGACACACACTGGTGGGGGGGTCCTCTCCCAGACAATCTTGAATCAAGTAGATGTAATTTCCTGCAGTCTGGTGTATTTAAACGAGTGAAACCCTTGATTCAATAACCGTTTTAGAGACGCCTCATTAAACTAGTCCATATATTCATGGTCCTGTTTATTTTAAACTCACTCCTGTGACTAAAATAATAATAATGATAATGATAATAATGATAATAATAATAATGATAATAATAATGTGACACAATTTATGAAAATGACTTTAGGAGGACAGGTTTTATTTTATTTATTTTATTTTTTTTTTTTAATTTAGTTTCATTTGTAACACAACTTGCCATTGTATTAAGAAATGGTGACCTGCATGATTAAGAATATTACCTTTTACCCAATTAACATTTTAATAACCACCAGCAGTGAATTTATTTTTAATTTTTTTTTTTTTTTTTTTAAGGTTTTCTGATTTAGTGATCTAGTCATAACAAAAAATGATGTGGCATCATGCAGCCTTCACAACACTAAACTACACTGTGTCAACAATAGAGACAACAAAGACTTGTCAGTTTTGTCATGCATTTAATTTATTTAAACAAAATAATTTACTAGGGATGCACGATATTGGATTTTTGGCCGATATGCCGATATTTGCTACAATAATTGTGCAACAGCTGTAAGAGCTGGTGACATATATTCAGTAACAGCCATATGCAGAGCACTTTGACTTATAAGTGTTAAATATTTATTAGCATTAGTCACCTGCGATGCTGTCTCACATGTGGAGGCTTGTTCCAGGTTCCTATAGCTGCAGTGTGGGATCCTCTGCACTCCTGTGCATGAAGGACAGACGTTTTAAGATCAAAGTTTTTCTGTCCATTGTGCCGTGAGACTAATCA